GCAAGGGGCAGCCAAAGAGCCACAAGGGGCAGACAAAGCGCCGCGAGGGGGCAGCCAAAGAGCCGCGAGGGGGCAGCCAAAGAGCCAGCATGCGGCTCCGGAGCCGCATGTTCCCGACCTCTGAGCTCAACTCATCCCCCAGGCCCCTGTTGCCCCTCCACTGGAGTGACGCAGCTCAATCCCCTCCACTGGAGTGACGCAGCTCAATCCCCTTTACTGGAGTGACGCAGCTCAATCCCCTCCACTGGAGTGACGCAGCTCAATCCCCTCCACTGGAGTGACGCAGCTCAATCCCCTCCGCTGGAGTGACGCAGCTCAATCCCCTCCACTCCATCCCCGAGCACAGCTGGAGCAGCGTCACCGCCTGCATCCCGATTGGCCCGAGGCTCCGGTTTGTTTGCCGCGTTAATAAAACCTCGCTGACTTACTTCACTGACGATGGCCTTGCCACGAACGTATACACCTCTAGCTCGAGAAATATATATAATGTTTCGTTACATTGGCAACATGCGTGGATATGAATGAACAACCCAAACTATGGAGCATGTGGTAAATCCACTGTGGTTTGCACTCCTTCAACGGAGAAGGAACAGCGGAACGACGCGAACTTTCTGTCTCTGATTGAAGCCCTCTCGCCGTGGCTGCCAGCAAAAGAGCCCAGACATTGGTGGTAATCTTAGCTATGTAGGGTGCGAACGAATTCAACATACACACAACACTGCCCATAGACTCAACACTGCCCACAGACCCAAGACTGCCCATAGGCTGCTGTTTGTGTTTAGTTTGTTCCTCCGATTAGCACGGTTGGCTACGTACGGCGTGAAATAAGTTCAACGCACGGTACATACTGTACGTGCCGACGTACCGCGCAGCCCAAATCATCCCAGAAGGCGTCGGATCTCGGAAGCAAAGCCAAATGGAGCATGATTCAAGTTCACAGTGTGTGTTGTGTAATCAGCTTGAGAAACCGGGATGAGTCTCAGGCGTAAGAGTGACCCGGGTCACCAAATTGGCAATTTATCAACCCTCGATTTATCCGAGTTGCGGATTAGCTGGTTGGTGCAGTAGTACTTGGACGAATGGGTGACCTCCAGCGCTTGTCAGGTGTTGCAGGTGTAAGGTCGCCCTGTTACCCACGAAATGGCATTTTTTTTTCTATTTTGAATTTTACCCGGTAAGGCCCAACTGAGCTATGTAGCGCTTTTTTCAGAGGCAAACTGTCTGTCACAAATGGCAGCTCAACGAAGTGCCTAATCACGTGGACAATCATAGTCTCAAAAACTCTTAACGCGCCGTATTGATTCTAAATGCGGAGGGGGAAAAAACAGAGGACCCGGAGAAAAATCCACGTGACCACAGGGAGAGAAAACTCCAAATATATATGCGTCAGGGTCGGGTTAGAACGCACGACCTCCTGTATACCAGGTGAGGCAGTTAACATCTCGCTCGCATCCTATGCCTTAGCTTTTTCCAAATACTCACTCCCCTGCCTCTCCGCATGCCAATCACTCATTCATGAGATTCGCCAAACATCTTTGAAACGCAGGGGCTACCCTCTCAGTGTTCTCGGTTACGCCGGCTTGAGCCTGGATCGTACCGCTTGGATGTGACACTTTCTGGCAATACCAGGTGCGTTAGGCTTGGGCTGCGAGGTGGCCCGGAGATGGCAGCACAATGGAGTCTTAAATCCATTTGACCAACGTTTAAATCGATTTTTGTCCGTGCACTCTCCGTTTCCTCCCACGTGATGCCAAGCGCTCACTCATGTGGAATTGGACAAACGGATGTATTGGCGGTACACCGGTAGAACGTAACAACAACGCACCGGGTCCTCGCGAAACAGTCTAACGATGTCGCTGTTGCCCCTTGAGTGAGCTGCAGAACTCTCCATCTGAAGTTGCCACTTACATTCAGCAGCCGCTTTCCCATTCGAACGCGTGGGTGACACCACCACGAGTCGTAATCTTTGTGGTGCCACCGTCCGCCAAGAAACGATTCAGGAACCGTCTGACCAAGTCTAGATAGTGCACGAGCAGTCAAATCTTGCCTCTGGAACACGGAGCCAGCAAATCGCCATCAGGGCTGGGTGCTGCTGTACGGCAACAGATCGCGAAGCTTCCTGTTCAGACGCTCGTATCAACGTTCCTTCTTGCAACCGCATCGACATCACAACTAATTTTGACTCGCACCACCACCACCACCGCCACCGCCACCCCGCAAGATTTTCTGACCAGGGTTGCGAATCGCGGGAAAATAAATACTAATCGAGAAAATGTAGAAAATAATAATGACAATAATACTATACCGGGCACCACCGGTGTACTGCCGGAGACGTTCAAATATTCCACCGCAGGACTCTCCTGAAAACGAGTCTCATGAGACTGGGCAAGGCATTCTTGAACGAGGGAGATATTGCGTCCTGCTTGCTCCTCCTCCCACGAGCACGCGTTCATCCTGACAAAACTTAATTCTGTGCCGTTTGTTGCTGGACCGCTCGGCGTGTTTGGAACCTTTTCGGTGGCCTGTACTTGGCCTCACCTAACGGGAGTTTTCCAAACGTCCCAGAGCAGCAGAGCTGCGCTGGATTACAGAGAGCCTGGGGACTCGGTGGGGAAAAAGGAAAACATGAGAATTCTAAACTTTCCACATTTTTTTTTATTTTACCAGGTAAGGCCCAACTGAGCTACGTAGCTCTTTTTCAGCAGCGATCTGGCCACAAACGATAGCTCGACGAAATGGCTCATCGCGTGGACATTTCTAGCAGCCAAATACTCTAAACGCGTGATGTTGATTCTAAATGTGTAGGGGAAAAACCGGAGGACCCGGAGAAAAATCCACGCGACCACAGAGGGATAACATGCAAGCGCCAAATATACAGGCGTCAGGGTCGGGATCGAACCCACAACGTCCTTCATACCAGGCGAGGTAGTTAACATCTCGGCACCGTGCCGCAGACAAGGTAGGGGGTGAGATATATTAATTGGATTTTTTTCATATTAAGTATCTCCACAGTGCCAAAATAAAACTGCTTCAATATTGTTATAATTTGAGCAACTTGCCAGACTCCACGACCTACTGTATACAAAGCGAGGTAGTTAACATTTCGCCACCGCGGCGTCCCCAGATTGTGTTTACCGCGACGGCTGCTGCCCCTTACGGCGTGGTCGCCAGAGAGAGATAAAATGCAATACGACCCGATTAGGGTGGAAGCCGATCCGGTCTAACCCGAGGCCGCTCCTTCTACGCGTGCGTTGCGGAAAAAAAAACATTCACGACGACGAGACGAGAGCAGATGTCGTCCGTGCGGTGGCACGGCCCCGCGGCATCCGCCACTTCATGGGAAGAGACTTCCCGATGGTTCGAATCTCAGCGGCCGCCCTAATTAGCGCCGCTCGTGCATCGGCTGTAACGTTGCCACGCGCCGCATGCTTCACGGGGCACGATTGGCTGGCGTGACGGTGCGACGTAAGTTCAACACGCTGTAAGTACATAAACAAAGAGAAGTAAAACATCTCCCGTATAGCCTGGACAGGCTGTAGGGGCAAGTGCTGTTAGCGAGTAGTACCTATGAAGGCCGGCACGGCACACGAGGGGGTGGGTGGCCAACACCACGCCCGGCCGCCTTTGTTTCCCCAGTGGCGATGTTTACTACACACCGCACCAGCTACTCAATTGAAGCTGAGTGGACCTAGGGGGAGGCCCAGGACAATCGTCGCCGGTGTAGGCCGTGAGCGGGAATCGTCCTCGGGTCATAGCCGGCTTCGTAGCGCGGTGTAGCGCTAACCACTGCACCACCACTACCCACCCATACGTACACACACACACACACGTTCATTCGCTGTAGACTTTAAAGATCTCGCGAGGTCATTTTCGAAGAAGAGTGGGCCATCGCGTGCCGACGCCAGAGTCCAAATATTTCCCTGATTTCAAAAACCGAACACCGTGAATTACTCAACTGTGGATTGGCCCTCTACTGGCAGACTGATGCCGCCCCTATTGGGACATCTGTGAGAGGGGGGAAAAGAGCTTCGCAGCTCATCGGATTCTATCCTCCATAAAAAAATAAAAATTCTGATTCTGATTGTGTCATAACAAATGAGACTCACCCTCGACTCCTGGACTCTTTGAGGTTCTCGCCTGGCGAAACAAAATAAATCACTTGCCGAACAGATCGGGTGACAGCCACGGTGATTTTGATCACCCTCATTTAAATACAAACAAAAGCGACGACATGACTATGTGCCCATTATATGTTGTTACGAAATACGACGGCGCAATGGCTACGTCGTCACTCGGGTCTTGGGCACACACTGTGGGCCAATGCGCTCGCAGTCACCGTGCGAACGCATCACATTGTCGCCACCACCCCTTCTCCCCGTCTCCTCCTCCCTGTGTGACAACTTGCCAGGTTCCTCCTGAAAAGTAGCCGCGAGACTCGGCGAGGCGTGCCTGGGGTGAAGCGAGCAGGGTAGTGGATGGGTGGATGGGTGCTCACGGGGAGATGGATTTGGTAGTGGATGGGTGGATGGGCGCTCACGGGGAGAGGGATTGGGTAGTGGATGGGTGGATGGGTGCTCACGGAGAGATGGATTGGGTTGTGGATGGGTGGATGGGTGCTCACGGGGAGATGGATTGGGTAGTGGATGGGTGGATGGGCACTCACGGGGAGATGGATTGGGATAGTGGATGGGTGGATGGGCACTCACGGGGAGAGGGATTGGGTAGTGGATGGGTGGATGGGCACTCACGGGGAGAGGGATTGGGTTGTGGATGGGTGGATGGGCACTCACGGGGAGAGGGATTGGGTTGTGGATGGGTACTCACGGGGAGAGGGATTGGGTAGTGGATGGGTGGATGGGTGCTGACGGGTAGAGGGATTGGGTAGTGGATGGGTGGATGGGTGGATGGGTGCTGACGGGTAGAGGAATTGGGTAGTGGATGGGTGGATGGGTACTCACGGGGAGAGGGATTGGGTAGTGGATGGGTGGATGGGTACTCACGGGTAGATGGATTGGTCCGTGTCGGTAGATCCGGCCGCAGACTCGGCCGCGGGAGGGAGGGTCCCATTCTCGATGCGCCGCACCCATCCGTCTCCACTCGGAACCCAATTTGCCTCCATCGCCTCCGCCAGCTGCGAGCTCACTGCCCCTCTCTCTCTCACCTTGCTCGCGCTCTCTCTCTGTAGCGTTTTCTCTCTCTCTCCCTCCCCCTCTCTCTCGGTCGTTCTCTCTAATACACCATCATCTCCCTCCCCCCACCACACTCCTCCTCCCCTTTCTCTCGCTCACCTTTTTCGTTCTCTCCCGCAGCCTTTCGTCTCACTCCCCAATCTCTCGCTCTCTCCTTCCCCGTCTCGCCAATTCCTCCCCCCCCCCCCCCCCCCCCCACGGCCGTGTCCTCCCGGTGTCTCTGCGCTGGTCGCTCTCTCTGTGTGTGTCTGTACGGCACCGCTCACTCTCAATGCCACCACTGTTTGCTTCCCCTTCACACAAAGGCTCTTCTCTCCCACCCCTCCTATATTTCCCTATCTCTCTCAGTTCTTTCCCTCCCCTCTCGTCCCTCTCTCTCCTTGCTTTCCCTGTCTCTCTCTCTCTGCGTTTCGTTGCCTTCTCTCCGCTACTTTTTACTGGGCTCTCCGCCCCTCTCAATCTCTCCTTCGCCACTCCGTGTCGGTCAATTGCCCCCAGTTTGCTGCCCACACGGCAGTCACACCTCCCCACCCTCTCTGTCTGTGTGTGCGCGCGTGTGTCTGTTGTGTGTTAACACAACACAGCATCCCACAGGCGGTGGTGCCGGGAGCACTCGGCGCGCTCCGGACAGAGGTGGCCTTTTGCCGGTGGTGGAGGGCGCATCTCAGCCGTGACGCGAAGATGGTAATTCCAGCAGTTGTGCCGGGCCGGACTGAGCCCTCCCGGGAGACTGCAACGAAGCCTTCACACAGACGTCGAGTGCCTCTCCCTCCCTCCTCCTCTCTCTCTCTCTCTCCACCCACGCGCCAACCCACCCACCCCATCCCGTCCACCCATCCCGTATCCATCCTCGCATCCCATCCCGTGTCCACGCTCCCATCCCGTCTCCATCCATCGATCCCATCACCGTCTCCACCCTCCCATCCCACCCCGGCTCCATCCTCCCATCTACCCCGTCTCCATCCTCGCATCCCATCCCGTCTCCACCCTCCCATCCCGTCTCCACCCTCCCATCCCACCCCTTCTCCATCCTCCCATCCCACGGTCTCTGGCTGTCCGCCGCATCCCCCCTGCACCGCTGCTGTCATCGGGTTTTTCCAGCGGAGGCTTAGGGGTGATCATCGCTGTTGTGTCGGGCAGGTTTTAACCGGCGTTTCTTGTCGTGTTCGATGTTGCGTGGGGATTTTTTGGTCTGCCATTTTATTACATCCATTACAATCGGGGTTTACTTTCTTAGTTTGCCGTATGTAATATCACTATCGTTAGGGCGCCGTGGTGGTGTGATGTTGAATACCTCGCCTGGTATACAGGGGGCCTTGGGTTCGATCCCAACTCTGACACCTGTATATTTGTCTCTCCCCGTGGTCGGGTGCTCTGTAAACTTTATTTGATCTTACCAGGCAAGGCCCACTGAGTTTTCTAGCTCCTTTTCAGAAGCGACCTGGGCGCAATTGATAGCTCAACGGAGTGGCGGCTTATCATCGTGTGGCAATTTACAGCATCCAAATTCTCTAAACGCGTGATGTTCATTCTGAATGTGGAGGGGAAAAACCGAAGGACCGGGGAGAAAAATCCACGCCTCCACCGGGGGGGGGGGAGAGAGACACGCAGAATCTAAATATACAGCAGGCGTCAGGGGTCGGGATCGAACCCACTCGCTCCTGCATACCGGGCGAGAGAGGCAACATCTAGCCACCGCAGCGCCCCATTCCTTCGGTGCATCTTCAATCGATGCTCTAGGGGTAGATGCCTCCACTTCCTCCCCCTTACAGGGACATGAGGCAAGGCACCGTCGCCTCTCGTAGCGAACGGTCGAAAGTTGCTTCGGCCACAAGCGGTGGTGTAAGTGGTCTCAGTAGCAAGCGAACTTGATTTGCAATTCAGAGGTCGCCTGTTTGATTCCATCGCCCGGCGGCGGCGGCGGTTCAAAACAGCAGTGCAGGTTTCCTAAATCCCTCCAACCCTCACCCACCCACCTCCGTTCACCCAGCAGTCGGAATCAGAATCTTGATATTGCTCCTGGAGAAATCCGATGAGCGACGAAGCTCTTTTTCACAGATGTCCAGTCAGGGCCGCGAGTCATTAAAGCTACTATGACAACGACAGGATGATAGGTGTGCAACGTATAGGAAAGATAAGCAGTGTTCATAGGGTGCACCACAGTCTATGATTGGCAGGTCGAGTGTGGTGGGGTAAAGTGTGGGTACACCCAGCCCTGACCAGCTTGGCCCAAATCTCATCCGAGAGCGGTTCCCAAGGGCGCTCTCCCCTCGAGTGGGAGGCTCTTCCGCCAGCAGTGGAGTGAGCAGGCAATTGCAGGGCTGCTCCTCCGAGCTCTCGCTAAATGGCGACACAAAAACCGGCAACAGCAATCACGTTCCGTGACCTTGACGCGACATTGTGGGCCTTCGTCTAACATTCTACGGAAAGTCCTCGACTTACGACCACAATTAGTTCCTGAGACCCGCTTGTCAGTCATAACGCAGTCATCTACTCCAAATTTAAATGCCCACACACACAAGCACTCACTCGCAGCACGAGGCTGACTCATTTACATCTCGTGAACGATCGCTCGGCCGAACATAAATAGTGCCGTGGTTCAATTTGCAAGTGAGAGTTCGCGTTTTAAGTCGATGGTTAAAACACAAATCTTTCATGGAAAGATGGATTCTCGTAAGTGCGGGGTTCGTAAGTCGGGGACTGCTATATTTTATTTCGTGCGCGGGTTCGGACCCCCCCCCCCCCACACCTATAAAGCCACGCCCAGTAGCGTCACCCGCCTTATGACGACGATGCCTGTGACGTCACACGAAGCCCCACCCATCACCCCCTCGTGCACCGACACACGTGTGACAGAGGTACAGTGCCCATCTTGTTGCGTGTGATAGCCGATGGGTCGATAATCGCTACGGTCGTCGAATCCAGCACTCGAGTGATCGGCTAGCCCTCGAGTGATCGGCTCGCCCGATATTTGTTGTTGAAAAATCGGCAGGAATTTATCCAATTTTCCAATATGTACTCATATACTTATTCTATTCTATGTATTTATGTTTAAAGATTTGCTTACCTTTCCTATACTTTGCACTCCAGTCATTTTTTATTGTTGGTTGTTGTAACTTTCTGACTCTGTGCCCCCACTGGATATCTGCGCAAAAGAGCTTTATAGCTCATCGGATTTCTCCACGTCAAAAATAAAGATTCTGACCCTGATCTCCCAGACCAAGGTCGGTCCCCCTGTTCACGCTAATCAGTTGTTACGCACTGCACGCACCTGACGACGAGTACATGATCACACATACAGAAGGATATTATGTGGTGGTGACGCCACCACGGTGCTTGTGCTAGGCTAGGTGCACACTAACAGTCGAATGCTATTTAGCAGGTCCCAGGTGTTGTGTACAAAGATAAATGCCCCCCATATAGTTTTAACAAACTGTTGGAGCAAGTGCTGTTAGCGAGCACCTTTTAAGGCTGGCACAATGCAAGAGGGGGTGGGTGCTCAGCACCACGCTCGACCATCTTTGTCTCCCAAACGTTGACGTGAGCACACCGCACTCGTTTAAGGCTGAGTCAACTTAGGGTAGGCCCACGACCGGTTCGTATATCAGGTACATTGATGTTCGCTGCGAGCAAGAATCGAACTCGGGTCTCTGATGGATTCGTGGCACAGTGCGCTAACCGCTGCGCCACTGCTCCCCACCGTGTGTGCGGAACACACGTGCACCCACGATCTCCATCTCAGTTTGCATCAGAGCTCAATGTAGAATAATAAGAGTCCACGCAGAGGTATCTTCCATGATCAATATTAAACAATTATAAACAGTCGTTGAAGTGCATGGTTGAAATGTTGGCAACATATTGCTCATACATTAAAAAATATGTATTTTAAACAAAATCGCTTTAAGTGATGTTATAATTACTATTATTATCGCTTGGCAGTGGTGGCTATGCCGCACGTGCCTGTCTGTAATTAAGCACTTAGCAGCGAGGGTTGTTGGATCACACACAGATGGTGTGAATCCTCCCTCCCCTCCCCTGGGCGTCGAGGAGGAGCCGCACCCGGGTTCGCTAGGAGGTCATGGGTTCGATCCTGACCCTGAGGGCTGCTGTCTATTTGGGGTTCTGCGTGTTTTCTCTACCCGTGGTCACGTGGCTTTTACCCCGGGTCCTACGTTTTTTTCCCCTCCACATTTAGAATCAACATCACGCGTTGAGAGCATTTGGCTGCAGCGATACATTTCCACGTGATGAAAAGCCGACAGCGTGAGTAGACCCGGGAGCCAGTGGAGTTGGGAAAGGAGAGCAGAAGTGTGGGAACTGTGGAATGTACGTATGATGCACTTCTTTCGCACCACACGTAGCGAACCGCGCGAATCGGAGGTGCGGAGGGGGATCAACAAACTGAAGACCAAAAGGAGTTATGGAATGGCAGCACGGGTGACAGAACACATCGGATAGGAGGGCGACCCTGGAGATGGAGCGACGAGTGTGTGCGGACGGTGGGTTGGACGGTGTGATGGAAGCAGAAGCCGCTAGACCGCGATGGATGGTGACGGTGTGCGGAAACCTTCATACAGCACTGGATTGATTATGGCCGATGACGACGACGACGAATTCATATATTATCTCCACGTCACGCCACATTGTGTGCTTACGTGGTGATGATGCGATTCTGGTGATTGCCCATTAAACCTCGCATTTTATTTTCAACACGGCTTCCCCTTCGGTGTTCCTGCATCATCCACTCACTCAGTCGTGAACCGACCGACTGCACCTGGGTGGGTGCCCGTGTATCGTAATCCGAGAGACGCCGTTACACTCACAGCACTCACGAGCCACTCACAACGTGTCGCTTCGGCAGCACCTGCCGGGCTGTTATTCCCACTGGCATACAAATGCATCGTTTCAAAAATAAGAATAGGTTGTACCCTTTTTCTGGCAATTAAACAGGAGGTGTTAAGATGTTTTAACGCCAAATCGATACCTTTTGCACAGAGTCAAGTTTGCATTAACCACACATACTTGTGGTGAACGTAAATTGGAACTTAATTTTGAACATAATCTGAACCATACCATCTATAAATTTTGATTTAAAGCTTTCGTGACTGCGGTAATTCATATTCTTAGCTCTTTCGGTAAAGTCACGTTGAAGGGAAACAATAATATTGTTTTATATATATTTT